TACTATGGGTAATCTATATAAACACATTCTAGTCAAAGAGTTAAACCAGACGATTACAGCTTGTAATAAGCAAAGCTGGAATGGACCAATAATCAAGCAAGTAATAGACTGGATTATATCAAGTAAACTCAACTACACCTTGCATTCAGTCTTACTGTCCAAGAACAAACTTAAGAAAATACAAACAAGAGTTAACAATACAATCAAGTCAATACTCAGAGTAGAAAAGATCATTTCAGACAGAATTATATATTCACAAGCTGGCCTCAAGTTTCTCAATCTGACGGATAGGTAGGAGCTCACTATGTCAAAGTTACTTATTACCAAACTGTGCAATCCAAAAACTAAAGCTGCTACCAAAATGGAAATAAAGTCAATACAAGCAAGTCATGCAATATGGACATGCCCAATCTGCTGTTTGAATAAATTCCAAGAAAGCTGGATTACCAGAGCCACCTCCATATGCAAAAAATACAAAATCGCAGTCTACCCACCTAAGTGCAAATTTAATCACCCAAAAGGGAATCAATTTATTGGGTTGGCATTTCCCTTCAAAAACAAAGCCTTGGCCTAATAGGCACTTGGCCTCTATTGCAAGAACATTAAATTTCTCAAAGATTTACTAGTTTTCCAGTTAAACCATAAATTCACTTGACACAAATTTGATATACACTTAGGTCTCATATCCAAAGGTCCTATCCCAACATAGTTCTTCTACATCAGCATTCCAAGTCATATCCAGGGATTCTCTATCTGCATACCAAACATTAAAGCAAGATTTTGGGCAACTATGCTTAATAACCAGATCATCTATATCAAAGTTAGATGCAACCAAAACAAGAATCATTCGAACATTGAAGGGCTATACTATCTTGTAGACATAAACAAAACCTTTATTAGATGTCAATGTTATAGCAGTACATAAAAAGTTCCAGCTCCAGTACAAGAAGCCATAATCTTATAGATCTATTACAAGAACAATCTGCACTGTTTGCTAATGCCCCAGAAGAAATCCTAATCCAACTTCACTCCAAAAATCCACCAAATCTTATATCCACCATAGTGATTAATAGTACAGACCCAACAAGTATCTTGTCTTACATTAATAATGAAATGCTTATTGACATCAAACAAATTTTCAAGACAGATTATTTTTTTGTCACTGTAGACCTAAGTTATAAAGACAAGTATATCATTGCAAAAGCAAATAACATAACAGTTACTTTCTACTCCGAGCATAACAAATGCATCAGTACCCTGTTAGTTATGATCGGAATTCTGGCAGCAGTAAAAAGTAGCATATACTGTACATATTATTCAATACAACAAACACTCCCAACTTATTTCTGCCAAACTATATCAACCGAAAAGTCAAAACTGCCTATAACTACCTAGTAGACTGTGTCAAAACTCTTCTGAGATTAAAAGACATCAAGCTGCAGCTTAATAAACTAGAAAAAGATCCTAATTTGCAGGAAAATGACTTAGTAATATATATAGACAATTTGATAGAAATCAATAAGTACATCACAGAACCACAAATCAAGAACATGTGGGAATATGACATAGTAACATAGATCAAAAGAGTACAGCAAATCTACAGGCTTACTGACATCATCAACAGCTCATTAGTTAAAAAAAGATAGAACACAGTATTATAAATAGAAATCATACTGTTAGCGGGGAAATTGCTTCTGTAAGGCCTGGTGATATGACATTCGTGTAACGCGCCTAATCGGAGTAACGGAAATGCTTTAGAAATAGACTCATGATGTAATAAAAAGTTTAGATAATTTATTTTATAGTCTGATAGTTTATGAGTCATAAAGTTATAGTCCTATAGCAGATAGTCATAGTGATATAAATAAGAGAGCGAGGATAAGAAAAACAAGAGAACACAATAACAACAAAAACTAAAACACAAAAAAGTAATAAATGTAATTAACATTCTTGTAGAAGCACAAAACAATTGTGCAAGTATTAATTACAGTTACTATAAGTGGTGGTGTGATAGATGCGCCTAAAAAGGAAGTTGGCAATTAACCCCCCTTCTAGAGTAACGTTATCACGAGAGGATCATTCTAGTAGTTACTAAAAGGGATAGTGACTCGAACAATCGACAAATAGTGACAAAGGAAGGAAGAAGGTTAATTATAGGTTCAAGATCGGCTAAGTCAAATCTACACCTCAAGTAGAGAAAAGGAGAACAACCTACCCAACGTTACACAAGTTTGACCTGCCCCAAGTGACAGACTCGCTGTTTTATCATCAACAATACAAAGCCTTGTCCTTATGAATAACTTGCTAAATAAGAAAGACAAGTACAACTTATCTTCATTATTAGCATTCAGAAGCAAAATCCTAAGCAATACTCTTTCAATAAAAAGCTCCTGTACGAAAGATACCCAGACATATACCAAGACAACCTTTGCCCAAGATGTCTAATTTTATCAGAAACTCAAGAACATATTTTCACATGCTATAAAAATAGTGAAGCATATGAAAAGATTGAATTTAAAATAAAATCTAAGATTAGTAAGTTGCTTAAAAAAACCAACAAGACAAAAACCAACTTTGACTTTAATAGAAAATCAAAACTAGAGAAAATGGTATGTGGCATCACAGATCTCAAGAACCAGTTATCAAAGAAGAAATTACTAAAGTAATAAACATCATTCTAAAACTTTTCTATACACTAATATGGATTCCCAGATCAGATATTACAAACATATCAATAGCCTCAGGAATTAGATGGTTCAAACCACAAAGTAATCTATAAAATAAAAAAGCCAAGGACATGTCAACTTCTACTCACAAACAAAATTTGCTCCATCTTATTGTCTTCTTAACTGACGCACAAAACACCAGTTCAAGCAATATACTTAAGTCACATGATCTAATCACAGCTCTGGAAGGGCATTAACCATCCAGCACTAGAGCCAATCCGAGTTATATCAAGTGTAACAAAGATAGCAATAGTTAGTATCATAAATAAGTTAATATTAACTTGCACATATTCCTGTATAAAGATATTTGATATAATTTGTGTATCAATTTATATACTTAATAAATTTTGCATCTAATATCCTTTTACAATAAAAAAATAAAATAAAAATAAAATCATTTTATTAACATAATTATTGTAACTTATAAATTAAATTTTTGATTGATTAAAATTAATTAATATTTTATTGGTTAATTTTATACATTTTTTAGATTCCTTTAAAGGCTTTTAAAATGAATTACAAATATCAATTTTGTTAATATATCTTTTTAAGACATTCTTCTTATATAAGGTATTTTAACAAATGTATTAACTGTGAACTTTAGTAACAAGTCCAATAAATATTTAAATGAGTCAAAATTTTCTATTATTTCAAATAATATTGAAGATATGTAAAGCATTTTGGAGATAGTTTTATAATATTTATTATTGTTATTTTATTTTATTAATTAATAGTCATTTACTTTTAGACTTTTGCAAAGGATTTAAATTCTTTTAAAAATAATTATTTCTTTAATAAAAATTCTTGTAATATTAATTTTTTTTTAAACACTAGCTGGGCCTTGCCCTTTATACTTTATTAATTTCAAGTTTTTACATATTGTAACAGGGAGAAATGGGACGTGACGTTAGTCACATGACCGATCGACGTGACAATGGTAAGTCGGCTGTGATAATTAGGTGATAAAGGAAGGACGGGAAGAATTGTGAAAAGAATTATGTAATTTAGCTTTAGCCATATTGCTGTATCATTACTTGTTATTACTCTAAGCCGCCATAGTCAAATGTAAAGTATAAATAACATGTAAAATATAGAGAAGTAGAGGGGAGACACGCAAGGGAAGTAGTGAACATAGAAGTGAGAAATTAATAAAGACTCGATCAAATACAAACATGCCTAAAATCACCCATTCATTTATTACCCCAGTAACGGTTACGCGAATCTCTGCTAGAGTTAGCGACTGACTCACCGTTACACCGTTACATTTTTGGTAGTGACTGTGAGATTCGTACAAGGACGACGTCCAGTTACCCCCCGAGTTTTTGAACTGTCCAAGGCACGGCGAGAGGAAACATTTTCCACGCATATAACACATTCCCAGTGGTGACTTGTAGCCCCTACGTCGATTATCCGTACTACAATAAAATGCTGGAGATCGAATATGATACAATTACACATACCTTTCTGTGACGAGATGGCCTGAAAAAGCCAATAGACGTGCCGAGACCGGAAAAAGGAACCAAGACCCAGCAAACCAGAAGATACAAGTTCGGAGAGAGACCAAAAGACGACCCTCGTTGTTGGATAAAACAATATATTGAAGCTGCTGGTCGTCGAAATTGGACGGACGCCAAGAAGCTTGAGGAAATAGGTAAGTATTTAGAAGATGTCGCGCTAAAATGGTATGAAAACTGCTGAGACCGACTTGCCTGCTGGAATGACGAGGACAACCAGGAATGGAGCTTCGTACCGATGTTCATACAGCATTTTGAAATGCTGGAGCAACGTCGCCATTGGCAAGAAGAACTGGAAACAATAAAACAAGGCGAAGACAAGAAGGTGACCAAATACGTCCGAAGGTTCATGGCGCTACTAAAGAAGCTCTATCCAGACGGAGATTATGCCAAAAGCACGGCGTATTGGTTACTGATACTTGGGTTACGGGAAGATATACTATCGCAACCAACTGTTAGAAATTCCGTCGCACCAATAGAAGCACTCAAAGCGGCGATAAGAGCCGAAAGGGAAAATATATCATCTACTCTCGCCGAAGCAGTTAGAGCCACCTCACGAAATAAAGATACCAGTGATAACACGACCGACGAAACCACGAAGCCCGAAGGATGCCGCGAAGAGACCCCAACGACAATTTCTGATGAGACCTAGAACAAGAAACCTTATGACACACCCCACCCGATAGAGAAAACCGAACGACCATGGGTAAATGCGATCGACGCAAGCACAAAGACCGGAGAATGCCACGATGAAACCCCGATGACCATCGATAAGGAGACGCCAGGGAGAGAGGACAAAATACCAAGGACAATAACGAATGAGCACCCAGAGAGGATGACGACGACCGGCAGGATTGTGAGAGAAAACACAAACGGTGATGAAGTCCAAATAGCCAAAAGAGATTGGGAAGATGACGACGTGAAAGAGACTGCGAAACCCACCTATGATGAAGCTCTGATGAACGAATATCCCGAAATGACGACTACAGGAAATGATGACACAAGGGAGGTGGTGAGTAAACCGGAAGAAGACGGTGGATTAGTACAGGACGCGGAAATGGAGCATCTGCAAGAGAAAGCGAGGGACTGACCGGAAAACGTGCTGACATCTAACAAGGCAGAAGGAAGTCTTGACGAGAAGATGTGCCCCGAGCCGCAAAGAGAAGTCAACCACGTGAAAAGGGTTGGTAAAGCTGTTCAAAGGATCAATGTAACGATTAGAAATCAAGAGCTAACCCATGACGAAGTATCGGTTGCTCGCGACTGCACGAAGCCATGGGTGAATGCTAAAACCACGATGCCCGGAGTCAACGAGATGAGCAGCCACAGGATCGAAGCGGAAGACGAACCGGAAAAAGATTAAAAGAAAGCAGTAATGAGCCACGAACAAGACCAGGAACGTTTCGAAGAAAGAGAGAGATGACGAGACAAGCCGCGACCACGTATCTCCGATGAGAGCGACGAATGCTGGGAAGAGAGACTCATAACCGTATATGATGACCCGCCCGATAGCACAAGAGAACGACTGACCATCACGGATAATAGAGACCAAGGAGGAGGGCTCGATGTGAATATTGGAAGCGAAAAAGGGATCCATGACGAAACGCCCGTAAAATTGGAGGGACCTATGAGGAAAGAAGATCAAGAAGTCACGATCAGTAAAAGTGAGCACGTGAGAGAACAATTGAAAAGGAATGACGAAACCACGATGACGTATCCGATAAAGAATGTGCCTACAAAGGTACGAATGCATGTGCCCGCGAAACAATTGTTTGGTACTACTACCCTACATTGAAAATTTGTTGAATAGAAAAAGAGGAAACGAGTTATAACACGCCAGCAAAAGTTAGAATCCAGAAGATGCCAACGATGCATCACGGACCACATCAGGCCATATCATCACCACAGACGAAAGCATCAACAAAGAGATTGGGTAATCAACAACACCAGGATGACACGTGTGATGGAAAGAGTCACGCCGCATCAACACCACATCACGAATCTGGAGACTGCCCGACCAATAAATTAGAAGATCCGGCACAAATGGAAAGAAAGAACAATCAACGACCGACGACCCAGCAATTCCTCAATTATTAGTAAGGCACTGCGATGGATACATATAATGAAAATCTTAATGTGTGGTACGCATACGATAAGCGTGGGAGAATGTAACAGGGAGAAATGGGATGCGACGTTAGTCACATGACCGATCGACGTGACAATGGTAAGTCGGCTGTGATAATTAGGTAATAAAGGAAGGACAGGAAGGATTGTGAAAAGAATTATGTAATTTAACTTTAGCCATATCGCTGTATCATTACTTGTTATTATGTCTAAGCCGCTATAGCCAAATGTAAAGTATAAATAACATGTAAAGTATAGAGAAGTAGAGGGGAGACACGCAAGGGAAGTAGTGAACATAGAAGTGAGAAATTAATAAAGACTCGGTCAAATACAAACACGCCTAAAATCACCTATTCATTTATTACCCCAGTAACGGTTACGCGAATCTCTGCTAGAATTAGCGACTGACTCGCCGTTACATCGTTACAATATGTTGTTAATACAATCATGTTATAACTATAATTCACTTGTATAAAGAACTATATTGGATTTTTTAGGTCAAATATCGGCTTTGAGCTATTTGATTTATTCTAAAATCTAGGTTTTAAAAAAGCGATCAAAGACTAATGTGCCAAGGCTCTATTAGTATTAGTAAATAGTATGTTTGAGAAATTGTTTTGTTTTTCGTTCCATTTGAATTCAATATACTATTTGATCATTTTTCATGTCCATATTTTTGCTATTGTCTCCTTCTTTTGATTACTTCGTAACCTGGTTTTCTCTTTGTTTTTTCTTTGCTGTGAGGTCATTTTTGCCTTCTTCTTTTCTGTCGTGATGTTGTGTTTCCTTTTCCACTCTTTTGCTTTTCCACACCTTTCCTTCCACCACTTTTTGATTGCTACTTCCATATGTTTTGTTATTGCTTCACATGTCTCTTTTACTTTTGTTCCTACTTAACTTTTGATGTGTTCTGTTGTTTCTTTTGTAAATACACCTTTTGTTATCAGATTTCTTGTATATTCTGAGTCTATAAGCTTGAAATTTGCTTGACTTTTTCTTGTGATGTTTTCTTTTTTGTTGCTTCTGACACTCATTTCTTGTCTAATTGCTTTGTTATATTCCTCGGTGATCTTTTCTTTCCAATGCTCATATATGAGATGTTGTAGTGTTTCTTCTTTGTCACAGTACAGGCATGTTGCTTTTGCGTAAAGGTCAGGCTTTTTTGTTTTTATTCTGTCGTATGTCAGCATTTCTTCATTTAGAATTCTATATCTAAAGCTTCTGCTGCTATAGTCTTGTCTGTCTGTTTTGCCGCTGGTTATTTTTGATGGTTGTTTGGTCTTGAATGTTATATCCCAATCTATTTCTGGTTCTCTTCCATTCACAATACAGGCCATGTGCCTATTTTGTGTTACCCATCTTGCTGATTATTTAGCACTCTGTTGTCTTTTGATTAGACTGTTAATGTTTGTGTCCAATGCAATGTTTTTCCATGTCAGGTGATAATGTGTATCTTTTGTTTCCGGTTGGACTATGATTTCTTTTTCTTGATTTGTATTGATGTCTTCCTTTGCGAGTTTGTCTGCCTCTTCATTTTCTTCTATTCCTGAGTGTACTTTCACTTTTGACAGCTTTGTTTTCCCTATTCTTTCCTTGATTGTGTTTTTGATTTGTTTGATTGTAATCCAGTTTGGTGTATGTGTTATGTGTCTGTTTCTTCCTTTGGTTTCCGTGATGTTTTGAATTGTTACTTTGCTGTTTGTACAGATTATTATGTTTGCTTCTTTTGGTATTGTAACGATGAGACTGAGAATTGCTATTAGTTCTGCTCTGGTTGATGATGGAAAATTTTTTGTATTTGCTTTGAACTTGACTTCCTCTCCTGTTTCCTCGTTTGTTGCTACCCAGCCGATCTCCATTTCATATCTGTGTGTTCCAATATTCTCTACTGACCCGTTTGTATATGCCTTGATTTCTCTCCATTCTTTGATTGCATCTTGTATATTATTTAGTTCTACTGTTGCTTGTTCACCTGCCTCTATGATTTTCTCTGGTTTGGGCTCCGCTTTATGTTCCTCTTGTGTTGTGTTCCGCATGCTATTGAGATCGTTATTTGGGTTGTTGGCTTGTTTTTCCCTTGCTTCTGTGATATTGTTGTGGATAGTGAATGATAATGCCTGGATTCTATCGAATACATCTGCGATTTTACTGTATAGTTTTGAACTGTGTTATGTGTGGGTTACTGGAACATTTACTGTATTTGTTATATCCAGAGTTTTTGTGCATGTTCCATTTTTTGACTCTCTGTAGTTGCAACCTGGGCATTTTTGCAGTGGAGAGTCTTCTGCTATCCTGATCATGTGTTGCACTTTTAGCCTGCCATTTTCAATTTTGTTGCGTTTGTTTCTTTTGCTTATGTATATCGTTTGGTCTATAAGCGTTGCTATATAGTTTGCGTTTTTGAGATTGTTATTGTTAGTTGCCTCCAGGTGCTGTATTGGATTCGGTTGTGTTAAATCTGGAATGGTACATTTGTATTTGTTGGTTGATAAGTCTGGTACTGAGTGTCTGCTTTTGATGTCTGTATACTATTTGGGTTGTCTACCCGTCAGCTTTTTATCTGCCATTGCTTTGACCTGTCTCCATTCTAACATGTGTGTTTGGTATCCATTCATCAATTGTTCTATGAACATAATGTTGTGTTTTTACAAGTTTCGTCTATTATTTCTGAATCCTTCTTGCCCATTAGATCTTTTATTGTGTGCAGGTTTTCTTTTGAGAATGTTTTTGGTTCTTTTTCCCAACTGTTTGCTTTCATGTTGAATCCTGTCTCCTTGATTATTTGTAGTGCTTGCTCCATAGGTTGTTAGGTCTTCTGATTGTTTTTATTTGATCTTCGAATATGTTGTGAGTGGACCATGTTTGGTTCTGCAAGTATTAAATTCTCCCTCTTGCCAACTCTCCACATATATTCTGTCTATTGAGAATTTGTAATGTATTCTTAATATGTAGCTGTGCTTGTTTGTTTTCGATGCTGAAGAGTTTGTAACTGAAGTGGCTGTATATTTCACTGTTGATTGCTGTCGATATCAAGTTGTTTTGTGTTTGAATGTTCTTCGAATTGTGCTGTCCCATTTCTCACATGTTTGTTTCATTGCGATTGTGTCTTGTAGGAGATATGTAACTGCAGGAACTAGAACTTGGTTAATTATATACCTCTGCTGCTTATCCATGATGGAACTTCTTGCTAGACTCTGGATTGTTGACTGTACTTTGTGGCTGATCAGGTCTAGCTGGTGTCTTTTGCTTTCTGTTTCTGTAATCCAGATTCCTAGTATCCTGATTGCTTCTGTTTTTGGTTTTGGTGTGATGTTCTGGCCTTGAAGCTTAATGTCTTTTCACTTTTTTGGGTGAATTGTTATCAGTGCTGCTTTGGTTGGGTTGATTTTCAGGTTTATAATCTTTGCAAAACTTTCAACTGTTCCAATGATCTTTTTCATGTTTTGTCTGTTTTTGGTAAGCCATACTGTATCGTCCATATATGACAGTGATGTGATTCTTGTGCTTTTTTTTCTCAATTTGCCAGGTTTGTCTAGAGGTACTTCAGTTGTGAAGTTGTATCCACATTTTGTCTTTTCTATTCTGCATATTAGTGGATCATAGTATATTCTCCAGAGTAGTGGTGAGATTGTATCTTCTTGATCTATTCCTGTCTCTGGTTGGAAGGAGGTGGTTAGCCCATATTATGTGATTACTTGATTGTTGCGGTTTTCGATCAGGTTGATGATTATATCAATAATGCTTTAGGGAATCTTGATTCTTTTCATTGCTTTTTCTAGCATGTCGTGTTTGATTAAATTGTATATTTTGCTAATGTCTTGGCTAAGGAGTCAGCATTCTTTCTTTTTTTCTCTTGCTTCTTCTAGTATATTGTTTAGGATGTTGATTGGTTCTTGTGTTCCACCTCCCAGGAGTCCTGCCCAGTTCCTATCGGAGAGTATGTTGTGTTTGGTCATGACTTCTGCTAGTCTGTTGTTGATTAGCTTGGTGAAGACTTTTTTAATTGTCTCTAAGAGTATGATGAGTCTTATGAGATTGAGGTCATGCTGCCAATCTGTTTTCTTTGGGATTGTGTATATAATGTTGTGTTGCTATTTTCTCAGAATTTTGCCTGTCGCGAGGATTTTGTTAAAGACCTTGGTTAGTCTGTATAATGCTTTCTTTTCCAAGTGCTTAAGCATTGGATAGCTGATATTTGATTTGCCTGGTGCTGAGTCGTTGGATATTCTTTTGAGGATTTCTTGTATTTCTATTGTTTTTGTTTTCTTTGTTGTCTCCTGATACCAGCCACTTTGGATCTTCTCCTTGGATTTGTACTCTTGTTCCCATTTGATCCACTCTTGTTGTGTGGGGTTGCCTTAATCTGCTGTGTAGTATTGGAAGTGGATGTGTACCATTTCTTTGATTTTCTGGAGGTATGTGGTTACTGAAAGTTCTAGTTCTTTCTTGATTATTCTGTCCATGTTGACGATTTGCCTAAGGTGCTGTAGGATCGAGTTGATCATCCTTTTCTTGTTTGTTGAATAGTTTATCTCTCTGTTTTTGATTGATTTTGTGATGCTTGCTCTGTTCTTTTGTCTGATATCTTTCTCCAATGCTTTCTTGATTATGTTGTAT